GGGTGATTAATAAATCAGAGCCCGAAAGTAGCCCACTCAACAACCACGCTTATATTTTTTTTCCCTTTTTAATGTATGTGTGAAGCAAAATATCTGGTTAACTTTAGTCTGATAAGGCAAAAGCCACTCCCTAAGTTCTAACATCCACAACAGTTTGAGAATATTTTATAGAAACGCAAATCCAATGAATTAGACACCAAAAGAAGAAGAAAAATTCCGTTCACTGAAAAGAGAAGGGCATTATTGATTAATTAAACAGATGCATGGCAGAAAAGAATGAAAAGGGTAAGGCGGGAAAACATTGCAGCATCAGCACATACCTCATCTCTATCATAGTTGTCACCACTGTGAGGATCAAAAAGGACATCACCAGTGACAAGCTCAAAACAAATGCAAGCAAAGGACCATAGATCTGCTGGAGTGGAGTATTTAGATCCAAGAAGAACCTCTGGACACCTATACTGTCTTGTCTGAATATCACTTGTGAACTGTTTGTACGTCCAACAAGCATTTCCAAAATCAACCAATTTGCACTTTAGATCAGCAGCTGCCAAGAGATTTTGCCTTGTGGAGCGGCTCCCCCTTCTACTGCGTTTTGCTTGACAAGCATCCTTCTGTCCATCACTATTTGCTGAATCATCCTTAATCACAGAACCATTTGATTGTTCCTCAAAAGAATCTTCATTTGATTTCACATCAGCATTAGAATCTTCAGGACTAGATGGTTTGGGATCAGCATCATTTTCCAAAGAGGCTTCTGTCTGTGTACAACTCTGAGCTGCCTTCTTAGCCTTCTTTCGGATTTTCTTCTTTTGATTCCTTGTCAAATCCCCATTCAAACTCTTAATTTCTTTCGAAGAACTAGATTCAGCCACAATTTTGTTCTTGTTGGTTGGAAGGATAAGAGGAGCACCTGATTTTCTCGGATCTTTTGATGGATCAATCATTGAGAAAAGCAGGACATTCTCTGGCTTCAAATCAGTGTGTATAATTGAAAGCTGGCGATGCAAGTAATCCAAGCCCACCAGCATATGAAAGCATATCTCTTTGACCATGTGCAGAGGCACCCCGCGGTAACCACTATACTTAATAAGGGTCAAAAGGTTATCTCCTAAGTACTCAAAAACCATACATATGTGCTGTCCATTAGGCCCTGAATGCTTAAAATGATCCAAAAGCTTGACGACACACTTTTTATCATCAGGATCTCCCTCAGCAATCTGTTTGAGGATCTTTATCTCATCCATCGCTGCCTCAGTGTAGTGCTGAGCGCTCTTTTGAACTTTCAAAGCCACATAACGCTTCAAACAATGAATTTCTCGTGTTGTTAACGTAGTCAAACAATAAAAACTAATGACAACTTCCTCAATCATGAAATTATCTAATAAAGCACCTTATAACCTAAATCTTGAAGAACAAAAAAATTACTTGAAAAAAAAAAACTAAATTGAATGGTGTGTGTCTACAACCTCCATTAAATCCACAATTCATACCCTCAGTAGTTTATGATAACTCCAACACTGTCATCTTACTATCGTTTCACGTTTTTTTCCCCTCGTTTTATACTAAACAAACCCTATTACTCCATCCGATTCAAAATCTAGCATTTCTTTCCATGATCTTCCTTAGCAACAAAAGGAGTCTTTAGAACAACAAAATAAAGGAAAACCAAGCATAAGAAACTGGAATTTCGATTCCAAAACACACAACTTCCCCATTATTGATTAAAGAAGAAAAAAGAAAAGAAAAGGCCATAAAACATACCGATCCTTGAATGTCCCAAGCGAGCCAAACAGTAGAGAAATGACCCCAACCAAGCTTGCTTTGCACCACATCCCTCCCATTCTTGAATGTATCACCAATTCTCACAGCATGATACCCTCCTCTCCTATAATCCTCCGTTCCCTCATCTTCTGAAGTGTAATCACTCTCTTCGCTTCGATCCCCATTCCTATCCTCTGCCATTGAAGCAACAACAGAAAAATCCAACTAATATAGAGTAGGCTGAAAAAAATCTTCCAGGCTGCTAAGTCTCTGAGATTGCAAAACGGGTTTTCTGGTTAGAGAACGAAAACAAGAAATAAAGGGATGGTTTTGGAGGTCAAAATCGACTAAGTAGTTTTGAGAGATTGGTTTTGATTGAATTTGACGAACAAGTAGAAAATTGAGAAGACTGGAAGAGAAAAGCAGCAAACTTTTGTCAAACGGGTTACTTTCACGAGATGGGTGTTGAGTGAATTTGACAAGGAAGTGAATTTGCGAAGCAAATTAAAGAAATTTTACAAATGGGTAATTCAGAAATGGAATTTTGTTCAATTTTAGAGACAAGAGGGGAACGGAGGGAGGGAGAGGGTAAGTAAATGGTTCTTGAGTGTGGGTTGTGGTGGTGGTTGCTGCTGCTGAGGTAAAAACTGAAAAGTGAATTAGGGTTTTTGAGAGAGTTTTATAATACTTTGTACTTACAGCTAGTCTTGCCGGGAAATTAAAGCAACGAACATTTACGATGTGGGTTCAAGTAATCAAGTGGTGTATGATGATTCTGGGCCGGCATCTGGGTATCCCTAATAACATTCTTTTGTATTTTATGTTTTAAAAATATTTTTAAAAACTTTTGTATTTTATGTATTTTAAAAAAATTAATTTATTTTAAAAAAATTAATTTTTTTCTATATTTTTAAATCATTTTAATTAATTAATATGTTATTTTTAAAAAATTAATTTTTTTTTTATATTTTTAAATGATTTTAATTAATTAATATTAAAAGTAAACTTTAAAAATTAAAAATATATTATTTTAATATATATTTTAAATAAAAAATATTTTAACAAATAATAATTACCACGATTACTAAATAAATTTTTATTTGTTAAAAAAAAGATATAATCTGAATTAGGTAACTTATTTTTTTCATAAAAGGATTACCATGTAAATGCAAAGGACATGGTGTGGTTTATTTTTCTAATTGGTAACTTATTAACAAAAACTAAATAGGGATTTTTATTCATTTGAACTTAGTAACTAACTAATGGTCACCATGGTTTTTTTCAAACTTTTTATTTTTTTAATTATCAACCCATATATTTTAAAATTATTTCTTTAAATTTTACCATTTAATATTTTATTAATTTTGAATTAATTATTATATTTTTTTTTGATTTTTTTTTTTATAAAATTATTGTAATCTTATACAAATATCTCAACATTTGGTTGGTGATTAATTTTTATAAATGTTTATTTTTATTATCATATCATTAAATTAAAAATAATTTAAAAAAATTTAAACCTAGTGAAGTTTATGATCCGGGTTATCAGTTTAAGTTTTTTGAGTTAGGCTACAGAGTTTAGATTGATTCAGTATGTTATTGCCTTAAAAAAAAAGACATCTTAAAAAAAAATTAAGTCAAGTTATTTTTTTTTACTAGTGGGCCGAATTATTTTTGGACTCATCACTTCGACATGGTCATCTAGGATCAACTCTCATACAAGTTAATGTTAAACTCAAATTAGGTAAGAATTTTTGTCAAAAGGTTTTAAAATTAATCTGCTAGATCGAGTTCGGTAACCATGCTAAATAATTCATTTAGAAAAATTCTATCTTTCAATTTTTTTTTCAATTGAATTCCTTTTTACTTTTTTTAGTTATTAATTTTATCATCTAACTTTTAGTTGATTTTGAATTGATATTCATAATTTATTTTAGTTTGTTTTTCATTAGATTATCGCAATTTCAAATAAATATTCTAATATTTAG